AGGACCTGTATGGGACTTTATAATATACACAGAGACAGAAGAATCAAAGCTAATCGTCCAGACATCGTAATCAAAGATCACAAGAACAGAATTGCAGTTCCTGCAGATTGTAATGTATCTTTGAAGATCTTCAAAAAACTATCAAAATACAAGGATTTTGAAATGGAAATCTCAGAAATGGGGTACATGAGGACGTCAATAATTCAAGTTGTAGTTGGAGCCCTCGGATTGATTGGAAAAGGATCCGATAGATTCATTGAAGGGATTCCTGATAGATTGTGCCTAAATATAAAAATTGTACTCACAAATACAGCTCACACATTACGAAATGCTTTACCTATGTAAAATGTGTGTGATCTTGTGTCATTTTTTCTTTTTTACAAATATTAGAGGAAAATGTCATGAAGCCATTTCTAACTAGCTTACTGTTTGGGACCAGGAAGGAATTGTTTATACAACAAAGAAAATAATAATAATTATTATTATTATTATTATTTTCTTTGTTGTATAAACAATTCCTTCCTGGGCCAATATCTGCACTGGAAAATCTGCAACTTCTACGGGAAGGAAACTGAAAGAAACTGGTATGAACACCACCCAGACCCGGTTACGGAGATAGGACCTGTTACAATTCTATGGAACTACACAATACACACTGACAGAACAATCAAGGCCAACCGGCCAGATATTGTTATTAAAGACCACAAACAAAACGGTGCCTCCTTATTGACATGGCAGTCCCTGCTGACTGCAATGTATCTTTGAAGATATTCAAAAAGTTGTCAAAATACAAGGACCTTGAAATAGAAATCTCGAAAATGCGGCATATGGGAACATCAACAATCCATGTTGTAGTTGGAGCCTTAGGACTGGTTGGAAAAGATTGCAGTAGACTAATTGAAGGGATTCCTGGAAGTCCATGCCTCAAGGAGATACAAAAAATTGTTCTGACAAGTACAGCCCACGCCTTACGAAGGGCTTTATCTATGTAATTTAATTTTTTTTTTTTTTTTTTTTTTTTGTCAGTGGAAAGTGTCATGACGCCATTTCTAACCTTAGTTCCCTGGGCATTTGGAAAGAAATGTGTAAACGCCAGAAATCAAAGAAAATAATAATAATAATAATAATAATAATACCACAACCAGACACAACTTGAATAACGATGTAACTATTCTCTGGGACATGCCATTTCAAACTGACAGGGAAATAAAAGCCAACAGACCTGATATTATCATAAAAGACAAGAAATTCAGGAAGTGTATGCTTATTGACAAAGCAGTATCATTTGAGTGAAACACTTCCATGCAAATTATCGAGAAATTGTCCAAATACAAGGACCTGATGGACGGCATTAACAGGATGTAGGGAATGAAGACTAAGACTGTACCAATAGTAATCGGAGCACTGGGCCTCGTGAGAAAAGGAATGGGCAATTTTACTAATAGTGTTCAAGGTAACATCAACATACAAGTCACCCAGAAGATCGCCCTACTAGGAACATCCCATATACTAAGAAAAGTGCTATCAATTAAATGACAATTCTCCTATAGGGCCTAAGGACCATAGTTTGGACCCAGCTCTACAGGATACAAAGTAGGAAAAATAACATATACAAATAATAATAATAATAATAATAATAATAATAATAATAATAACTGATATATAGTCATAAAAGATTTTTAAAAAGAAACCTGCCAGCAAATTGATATGATTTACCGAGAGGATTCTAATGTTTCTCAAAAAAGAATATCAAAAACTGTCAAATTAAGGGCCTGCAAATCGAAGTGACAAAAATGTCTAAACTTAAAACTACGATTATCCCCGTTTTGATAGAGGCATTATGTATGATAGAGAAGGATACTAAAAATCATCGGATTAAAATTCCTGGACGCATCATCACCTCAGAACTACAAAATATTACTTTGTGCAGAAGTGCACATCTGAAAATTATTCTCCATCGAAATGCAATATCCCAAATGCGCAGAGACATTGCCTACAGTGCCCTTTTTACGGATAGACCCCGATAGTATATATATATATATATATATATATATATATATATATATATATATATATATATATAAACGCAAAAAATATATATATATATATATATATATATATACTGACTCAATACTTTGATGGCCATTCAAGAAACACTAACTTTTCCTCTCTTGTGCAAACATAGATAGAGAAATTCCAGATACATTATTTCAGGATAATTAATTATATTATAACCTTATAATTAAAGATACATATGAAAACGATTGGTGCACATGCATATATATATATATATATATATATATATATGTATGTATGTATGTATGCGTGTGTGTGTGCTTATGAAGATAGATAGATAGATAGATAGATAGATAGATAGATAGATAGATAGATAGATAGATAGATAGATTGGAAAGAACAGAATCGGTAATATAAAGAAGAAAGAGAGTGTTAGATGACTTTTTAGAAAAGTGGTATTAAACGATTTACTTGCTGTATATATTTGAGTATAGTACAAGTTTTATGATGAGTTTTTTTAAAGAGAAAATACGAGGTCGCACGATACACAGGTAATTTTTAAGAGGTTAAAAATCACGCATTTTCGGTGAGTGGTTGCACTATACACTGTTAAATTTTCTGGAGGGGTTAAAATTCGTGCAGAAAAATTCAGGGGTCGCATTATAAATAAAGTATATATAAAGTCGACTTGCACACGAACATACTGATAACTATTACTATGCTGCAAAAAGAATATATCCTTTTGGAATCAGTATGACAGAAACATTGTCTGGTGGAGGTGGCAAAGGCAAAGGAATAAAGGGAGGAGGGAGAGCCGTGAGCGCCTACGTCCTGAAGGGACACGACACATAAAAAAATTCTGTTTCGTTTGTTTAAAAAAGTGAACAATAATTTAAATGGTGTATTTTTCAGATATTTCCATTTATAAGAGAATTTAATAAGCTTTTCATTCAATGCACGCAAGATAAAATTGGAAAGACTGATATAAAATGGATGAATTATTTTTTTTTATTCGACTTCAATCGAGATCAGCCGCAGTTCATTGTGAACTCCGTCCTCGATATGACGATAAACTACATCTGCGTCCAGCGTAAGACGATAAACTACGTCCAACAGCAAGGCCTCTGAGCGGGGTGTTTTGAGGAACGTGGAACCACCTCTTAATTGCTGGTGTTCCTAGGTCCACCTTGACCCGGGGTGGTAGCACCTGTTAGGGTCCCAGCTATGGGCAAATCGTTAACCCCGAATCTGACGTAAAAAGCGTTACGAAAGTTTAAAAATAGGTTTTAATACCAGAAATACTTTGTAAAACATTATTACCAGAAATAAAATTTTTGAAGAAAAAAAACTATTACAAGCAATACGTTTTTGAAAAAAAAATATTACATTTTTTTTAAATAATATTACCAGGAAAAAAATTGTCGGCATTAAATGACCCATTGAGGTGTTGATATGCCGTAAAACAAAACAAACCAAACCAATCATTGTGAACTCTGTGATCTTGTCAATGGTTCTAAAGTATGCACTTCGACAGATCATGAAACCGTTCTTTTAATTTAGTCTTGTCTTTATCAATGTCTTATGTCCGACGGTTAGAGAACCCATTCCAGCCTGCTATTTAACCCACAGCTGGGGAGAGAAGATATCGGTTCATAAATTCCCTAAGTTTATATGCGTAAAAGTCAATGTAATGAGCTTAGAAAGAATTCAAAATCGGTGAGCCGAGTTCGAATTCTGTCTAAGCTCATTACATGACCTGCATTAAATCGTAATCCAGACATGTGCCTAAAATAATACATATGCGACTTTCTATGTGCTATGTCCCTTCAGCAAGTTGGCAACCATGGCTCTCCACTATTTCCTGTCCTTTGTAGCTCTTATTAAATCTAATCTTTTTGCTATCTCTCCTAATCCCTGTTCTGCCAACCATTTACACAAACTCGTTAGGTAGTTTATCTGCAGCTTTCCTCTGTCTCTCTTGTTAATATGTCCAGTCAGTGTCAATTTTTTTTTAAAGCAGCTTCCTCATTATATGCAACAGACATTTCACTTGTCTTTTTCTTATATATAAGTTACCATTTCGTCTTCATGTTCTCAAACTTTGTCGCTCAGTCAATGGTATTTTCAGCATCCTTCTGTAGAAACACATGTCTCTTCATTATCTGTGATGCGATTGGTCGGCATTCATTGTCATACATTAGTATAAAAATCAAAATCATAAATGTTTCTATCCCATATGACAGTGAATGCTGGATAATCTCCTCGCAGAGGAAGAAGAGATTTTGTATGTGGTTCAACAGAAGGATGCTGAGGACACCATGAACCGCATATGTGAGCAACGACGAAGTTTTAGAGAAAATCTTGTTACAAATTTCGTCCTTGTCACGTAGGTGGATCAGTATTACATAACAGTTCAGTACTCTTTTCTTTGTTTGACATTTTCGGTGAAGTTATGTACTTCCGGTTGAAGGTCAGTAAATTGTTGGGTTCTTCTTCTTTTTCTTCTTCTTTGGACATCAACGATCATGGTTGATCCTACGCAATGTGTTGTCTATTGTAGCACTTAGTAAATTTTGTCTTTTTGCTATCACTTCTAATTCCTGTTCTGCCAACCATTTACACAAGATACTTAGGTAGCCTATGCGCTGTAGTCTTCTTGCCTTCAATATGTTTTTTTTTTTCGTCATTGCTGAAAATGTTAGTATATTTAAAATATCTGAATACAAAATTAAAGCGATGGCAACCTGTGCATGACCCATGTGGATGTTGATGCAGCCGGAATTACAGAGTGTAATAGCGGCTGGTCGTTAAGAAATGGTTGACCAGAATGTGCATGGTCATACTGTTTGCTTGTGTTTACCAAAACGAAAAGCAATGAATACTGAGCGAAAAAATTCGATGAAAAGAGGCTAGGAGTCAGCCTCGCTGATCATAATAGTCCCGGCGCAAGAATACAAAGCATCACAGTCAGGTGAAATGTCGCAATGGTAACTTCAGTCACGAATCGTCGTGATGAGACGCAATAACATGAATTGAAACTGACTGAAACTAAAAGAAATCAATAGCTTCAGATTCAAAAATACATTTTTTAAAAAAAATTGCATTTTTTCTTTTTCTTTCATTTCTTCATTTTCTACAATTTCCTCATTTTCTTTCATTTCTTTTCTTTCTTTCATTTTTTCACTTTCTTTCATTTCTTCGTTTAGTTTAATTTTTTTCTCTTTCTTTCATTACTTCATTTTTTTCCTTTCCTCTTTTATTTTCATTTCTTCTTTTCCTTTCATTTTTTTCATTTTCTTTCATTTCTTCTTTTTCTTTTATTTCTCTCTTTTCTTTTATTTCTTTATTTTTCATTTTTTTCTTTTTTTTCATTTCTTCTTTTTTCTTTTATCCATTTTTCCTTTCTTCTCTTTCTTTTATTTCTTAATTTTCTTTCCTTTCTCTTCTTATTTAATTTCTTCATTTTCTTTCATTTCTTTCACTTTCATTTCTTCAATTTCTTTCATTTTTTTCTGTTTCTTTCATTTATTCTTTTTCTCTCATTTCTTCATTTTCTTTAATTTCTTCTTTTCTTTCATTTTTCACTTTCTTTCATTTCTTCATTTAGTTTATTTTTCTTTTTCTTTCATTTCTTCATTTTCTTTCCTATCTTTTTTCTTTCATTTCTTTCGTTTCTTCATTTTCTTACCTTTCTTCTTTTTCCTTTCATTTATTCTTTTTCTTTTATGCATTTTTCATTTGTTACTTTTCTTTTATTTCCTCATATTTTCCATTATCTTCTTCTTTCATTTCTTCATTTTCTTTCACTTTCATTTTTTCACTTTCTTTCATTTATTCTTTTTCTTACATTTCTTCATTTTCTTACCTTTATTCTTTTACTTTCATTTCTTCCTTTTCTTGCATTTCTTCATTTTTCATTTATTCCTTTTCTTTCATTTCTTCCTTTTTCATTTATTCTTTTTCGTTCATTTCTTCATTTTCTTACCTTTCTTCTCTTTCTTTCTTTTCTTCATTTTCATTCGTTTCTTCTTTAAATTGTTTCTTATTCTTTCATTTCTTCATTTTCTTTCCTTTCCTCTTTTAGTTTCATTTCTTCTTTTTCTTTCATTTCTTCAAATTGTTTCATTTCTTCATTTTCTTTCCTTTCTTCTTTTACTTTCATTTATTCGTTTTCTTTCATTTATTCTTTTTTTCTTTTATCTAATTTTTCATTTCCTCTTTTTCTTTTATTTCCTCATTTTCTTTCCTTTCTCTTCTTAATGCATTTCTTCATTTTCTTTCATTTCTTTCACTTTCATTTCTTCAATTTCTTACATTTATTCTTTTTCTTTCATTTCTTCATTTTCTTTGCTTTCTTCTCTTTCTTTCATTTTTTCACTTTCTTTCATTTCCTCATTTAGTTAAATTTTTTCTTTTTCTTTAATTTTTTCACTTTCTTTCATTTCCTCTTTTAGCTTCATTTCTTCTTTTATTTAATTTCTTCATTTTCTTTCATTATTTCTTTTTCTTTTATTCATTTTCTTTATTTTACATTTCTTCTTTTCATTTCATTTTTTTCTTTTTTCTTGTATCCATTTTCCTTTCTTCTCTTTCTTTTATTTCCTCATTTTCTTTGCTTTCACTTCTTATTTCATCCTTCATTTTCTTTCATTTCTTCATTTTCTTTTCGTTCTTCTTTTTCTTTCATTTCTTCATTTTCTTTTATTTCTTCTTTTCTTTCATTTCTTCATTTTCTTTCCTTTTTTCTTTTTTTCATTTTTTTTATTTCTTCATTTTATTTCCTTCCTTCTTTTCTTTCATTCCTTATTTTTCTTTCAATTCGTTATTTTCTTTTCCTATGTGGGTTTTCTTTGAAGCTTTTGTTTTCTCTTTCTCCATCTACTTTGTGTTTTGGACTATTTTTTTTCTCGAGTTTTTTTATTCAAATATTTCTTCTTTTTTCACATTTTTCTTGTTCCTTCTGATTCCTTTCATTTTTCTTCGTTTTCTTCTCATCATTTTTCATCTTTTTTCTATTTCTTCGTCTCATTTTTTAAACTACTTTTTTCCTTTTCTTCTCCTTTGTTTGCTAAGTTAAATCTACTTCTGTTCTTTATTTCTTTAATACTTTGTCTTTCTCTCGCTCATTTTCTTCCTTTTCTTTGTTTTCATGTTTTTTCTTCTTAGTTTTCTTCTTCTTTTCATTATCTTTTCCTCTTCTTAATTCTTTTGTTTTCCGTCATTTTTCTTTTTCTGTCCTACCTATCGTGAATAGTGTTCTTTCGTTCATTATTTTTAGTCACCTCGTTATATGTCTTCTACACTTTTCTCTTCTACCTTGTTCTCATCCTCTTCTACTCCTCATACTCTTCTTCTTCTCCTACTCCTCCTCTTCTCCTACTCCTCTTCTTCTCTTTCTTTTTTTTTCTTCTTCGTTAATGTCGTTACTGTCGTTTTCTCAGCTGTCATTTTTCTTCATTGAGTCCATCAGATTTTTCTACTTCAATTTCTTCGTCGCCGTCATTTTTTCTTCATCGTCTTTGTCTTCTTTTCCTTCGTCGTCGTCGCCGTCTTCTTCCGCGTTTTTATCTTTTTCCTCTTTTTCTTCTTTGCGTTATTTTCGTATTTTTCTCTTCTCCCTTTTTTTCTACTTCTTTTTCCTTCAGATTCTTCTTCTTCATCATCATCGGCGATTCGACTTTACCAGCTTAAATATGATTATTTGCTTTCACCCGTACAAATCCCACCTTCCAGTTATTTATCGTTTTTCTCAGAACTTTTCGAAACTTCACATACTCCTTCCACTGATGCTACAAAAACTTGGAGAATTTTTTCTCCATATACATCAATAAATGCCTGTACAGTACACAGTACGCCATTGTTATCATTTGTCTTGCACTTAACAGTTTCTCAAGAGAGAAAAAAATGAAAAATTTCCAAGCAAAGAAAATATTCAAATATTCCAAGGCCACAGATTTACAATCAATCCACAATGATTATTGACATAGAAGCATGCTCATTGTTCTTAGTGAAATAATAGTTTTTATGTGTTTTTGCCTCAATAGTCGTGTACCCCACAGTTGGTTAAAATATTTCTGCTAAGTACTTTTCAGAAATAATCAGAGGTACGAATATAAAACTCATAAGACAGGTAGCATTATGAAATATAAGTACAATTATGAAATTCATAAGGTCCATACCATTATGAAACCCTTAGGACAGATACTATTATAAAACTCATAAAATATGTACCATTATAAAATTCATGGCAGGTGCCGTTATAAAACTCTTATGACAGGTATAGTTATAACGTTCATAAAACATATACCGTTATAAAATTTATAACATAGACGCTATTATGAAATCTCTAGAACAGAAACCATTAATAAACCCATATCACAGGTAAGATTGTAAAGCTCATATGATAGGTAAGATTATATATAATCATATATTATATTATATATATATATATATATATATATATATTATTATTATTATTATTATTATATATTAATACATATATATATATATATATATATTGTATATTAATATTATATATTAATATATGTAGTATTATCATATTATATATTTTATATATATATATATATTACATCATATTATATATTACATCATATTATATTAAAAGCTCTTATCACAAACAGGATTATTAAGTTCATGTAACGAGTAAGATTATATATAAAGCCTATATATTATTATATTATAAATTATATTTTTAATAAATTTGTTAAAATTTTAGCATTATTTTAATATTTTTAATATTGAGCACTATATATAAAAGTATCTGCTGTTTCTTAGATCTTAAATCTTCTATTATATATTAATATATAATATATACTAGGCTAGAAGCCACCCTTCGGGCGAACGTTAAGCTAGATCTTGAGCAGGACTTTTAGGCCTTTGGCCTTTTACCTTCAGCGTCTTATAACCGTAAAAGTTGTAAGAATTTAGAAATAAAAAAATTATTTTATCTTTATTCGAGACTTTAATTCGGCATAATCTTTCTTCGTAAACGAAACTGATCTCCGTAGTTTTTTTTATTTTTTATTTTGCGAAATTAATGTTAAACCTTTAATATTTTTTAAAAAACCTTTCACTCTGTTCGATATTTAAATTTAACTTTAAATGAGTTATTTATTAAATTTTTCATCACGTTTAACTACAGTAGTTACTACTTGGTACTTCAGGTTGTTTATGATTCGCCGAGATCAAAATCGGTCAGACGGACGGACACACGTACACTGCACATTATTTATACACGTATATTATATTATATTATATTATATTATAAAACATATAACAGGTAAAATTTTAAAGCCCCTATCACAGGTAAGGTTACAAAGCTCATAAAATAAGTACCATTATAAGATGTATAAATGTGCTATTACGAAACCCATATTAGAAGTACTATTATAAAATTCATAAGACAGGTACTATAATAAAATTTATTCCGGGTACCATAACAATACTCATAACACAGGTATCATTAATAAATTAATAAACAGACTCAGGTAAACAATTAATATAACAAGTACCGTCATAAAATTTATAATATAGTTACCTTTATGAAACCCATAAAATAAGTCCCATTGCAAGTACGATTGTCATACATTGAAGACATCATCATTTTGGAATGATTTCTATGTTTTACTGATGGAAATTGTTGATCAGAAAGATAATCTCTTCATCAGTTACTTCAAGGATTTTCACATCGATTTCCGGCAGTTATTTTAAATCATTGACCCAGAACTATCCTGTTTTGTTTTGTTTTGTTTTTTGTTTTGTTTTTGTTTTGTTTTTGTTTTTTTGTTTGTTTTGTTTTTTTGTTTTGTTTGTTTTGTTTTGTTTTTAGGTTGCAATACAAAACTAAGAAACCATAGTCTCGCCTGTGGAGAAAGGAATTCATGCTTTTCAGACATTAGTGAAAGCTTCAGGCTATGCTGAGATCTGAACTCGACTCGTCGGTTCCACTTTCCGCGCCGCTAACCACGGCAGCCAGCAAGTCCGCACATTGTTCGTGTTAACAATTTTTTTATTAATAATTCAGCCGTTTTGTAAATATTGATTACTGGGTTCGTGGATTCTACTATTGCAACCAATCTCTTTCCGAGAATCTCGAGTGTCTTGGTTTCGCACTACTTGGCCATCTGCCCAGGATTGCTCAATTCAGGATACAGATAAATAAATCAGCTGCAAGATTTACTTCGGTTATTCGATTAATATTGATTTCCTGGAATAATCAATCAATTCCGACTCCAACCCCCCTACTTCTTTACTTAATAAACGGCTACTCTGCATACTGCCATTTTTCTTCCAAACTTCATTTCCCTCTTCAGGCATACGAGTGTGAGAAGCAGAGAGGGTAAGTCTGTCTCTTTTTCAGATTTAGCATAGTTTTTCCCTTATTATTCTCTTTAGTCCACTTTATGCAGCAGTCGAAAGGAACTATTGTGAAGGAAACTACTAGCTACGAGGTTGTACGGATACTATCCAGCCATTTTAAATATCTCACGAACTGGTGTTGTGGTCATGGTATGATTTTATAATTAACCAGATGAGCATGCGTGAATAGACACTCTCCCTTGGAGACACCACATTAACAGCGAAGCGTATGACTATCACATTATGCTTGTAATTTGGGTATTCGTTTGTGGCAACTATTTGAATCCTTCAAGACGGCTTTAAAAGATGATAAGTCATCATCATCTTGCGGCTTCGGCCGAGATTGAACTCACCAATACTTTGATTGGTGTAGTTCATAATCTTGTCAAATAGCTGAATTCTTGATTCTATCAAGGGTGTTTTTATCGTGACACCATCACTAAATGGATTGCCAACCAAGGCTCAGAGAGACTCCATTCACCCTCCTCTAAGAGCAGGTTTGAATTCAGAGTTTTCCTTCTCCTAGACCAGTTGCCATCCAAGGCTATAGAACCCAGTCTGTTCTGCTATTTACCCATAGCTGGAGGGAGAAGAAAGAGGATTCACACCTTTCCCAAGGGTGTTAGCACGTAAGAAAATGTAATGGATTCGACTGGAATTCGAACTCGGCTTTCCGATTCCTCAATCCAAGCCGCTATCCATTACTCCACCGTGCATCCTGATAAGTAAAGACTTTCGAAGATTATATAAAAAGGTTTTCGTGATTTATACAAAAAGGCTTTCCAGGATGATTCAAGAAGGCTTTAGAGTGTGAATCAGGAAGGCTTCCGAGAATCATTCAAGAAGGCTTTTCGAAAATGATACAAAGAGGCGTTCTAGAA